ACACATAAGATTTGGATTTTAAAAGTAAAGCTTATACTAAATTAATACAATTCGCTGATAAAGATGATAAAAAGACGAAGCAGAAACAACGCAACTGATGTCACATTCAATAAACGTCTCTAATCCGGACGGTGAAATTATCCTTTGTTAATCCTGACAATTTGACTGGGGACTGTATAGGAGTCCTGCCCAGCAATTCTTCCTATATGTATTAAGTATGTCAAATTAAAGGCAGCGATTGACGCACTAAATTGTAATTATAATCACAAGAAAAGGCAATGCTGCCATATAGTTTCCAAGTGGATGGCTTGGTAGTAAGAAACTGCATGGCAAAAGAAAGTGCATACATGACCTTGAAAATTGGATTTGACCAAATAATTACAAATGTTATCAAAACGTTACTAGGCTGAAAACAGTCTTGAAACACGTCAAACTTAAGCCTGAAAACACAACGGTGATACCCGTATTAATACAGCACCGTCGAATAACCATTTCATGTTTGTTTCATTTTTAGCCAATATCAACAGGGATGTATTCGTTCTTTTACCCAGCAGTGTATGTGAGACAGGGGATTTTCCGATGGTTCAAGAGAAACCTATTGGTTCGACACATCGGTATATATGGCATCTTGAATTCGATATAAATGGTCTTTCTCAAATTTAAGCAAGCGGGGACAACCATGGTCAAGATGGTCAAGATAATCTAGTTCGGTTGTATAATACACGCTGTATAAAATATTTTTTCGAGACGATATCACACAAAATATGCTTGCCAGTATTTTTGTTGAGTTCGTTCAGAAAAGTATTTGATTAAATTTAAAACCTACCAAACTACGAATTCATATTCCAATGAATTATATATTCTGGGGGATGTTTTTGTGATCGTTATGTGGCAGATTTAATACTGACAGCGAGTCATGCAGACATCCATAGGCTTCAGTCGGCTTAATTTACAATTAAATTCAAAAGTAAGTAAATAATTGGTTGAACAGTTTGGTCTTAATGCAATTTACGTTGATAGTGTTGTCACATGATTGGTGGAGGACAGGTTTGTTCGTTTGTTTGTTGTTTAACGCCGCACTCAGCAATATTCCAACTATATGACGTCGGTCTGTAAATATTCTGGAGTCTGGACAAGACAATCCAGTGACTGATATCACGAGCATCGATCCACGTAATTGGGATACAATGACATGCATCAAACCAAGTCATCGAGCCTGACCACCCGACCCCGTTAGTCGCCTCTTACGACAAGAATAGGGGCCTCCTAGGACAAGTATGGGTTGCTGAAGACCTATTCTAATCCGGATCTTCACGGGTCTGGAGGACAGGTACTAGATATATCTCGGAGAATTGCTCACATGAAATGTTTATTTGAGCTTCTATAAACTATTATGTGGCAAATGCCAACTTCGAGATAAAGGTACAAAATTCTGTAGTAAAGTTAAAGTTTGGACCGAGTCCAAGGTTCGAGATAAAGCTATGTATTGTTCTCACAAATTCGGGATAAGCGGTCAAGTCAATATATATTTATGTAGTGAGGTGGTCATGATCAGGACCGGAGAATAGGTTCGAGATATCGGTACATTCGAGTTAAAGGATCTCGGGATAACGGGGTCCGACTGCATGTGGATGCTCCGGAAGTTTTCTTAGCTGGATTCCCCCTTGTTGCCGTGTTATAGATGGAGCGTCTACCCGGGGAGCGAAAGGTCGGTGGCTACACTCACATCTAGTCTCTGAAATGAACATGTTTTACAGAAAAAACTCAGTTGTTTAATTATAGTTATAAAATATAATAAAAAGGAGCCCAAAGACTTTCTTCATTTTCAGATACTATTGATACTGCAGTTGTCTAGACTTGCCAAACATTATAAACTTGCATGGGCTGTATTGGATATATTTGTTTCAGGGTCTGTATAACAGACTAGGCGGTGGCCTGCGTCTTATCAAAAGGCGTTGTTGGATAGAAAAAGGACTGGTCGTTTCGTAGTCAGTACATACCATGTTAAACTGCAGCATGGTGTGTCAGTCGGCAAGCACTATCCAACCGGACTAGTAAAAGCAGCCGCACACACACGCTTGCATGACGCTATATATGTGCACCAGCCACCAACGCGACGTTAACCCCTATTTAACCTCACCTAGTCTAGAAACCGCACATTCCGGACAATACCAAATTATCTATTCATAATCCAGGGTTTGCGTATACGTAAACAACTTTTAACACTGACCCGTTAGATAAAACTGTTTTGACCGGTTTAACAAGAGTCCGTAGTGTGAGCGGACTCACTGAATGCTTTACACGCGCATTATCAGACATTACACGTGACAACAGATCGTTCCATTTGCACAGTATGTACATGACAGCAGCTCTGATAAGATCGGTCGTGTGGCTACACGTATTGATTAACTCACTGAAGTACAGCCACTATCGGCTATCTATCTCGCCTCACACAGGACACAGATTGATGAAATGTACATGACCTTATAGTGACATATGCTTCACGAGTCATTTACAAGTGCTATATACATCCGCTCTCTGATATGTACATCTCTACTGAGCACTAACTACTGTCAACAGTGGGAACGCCTCAACACGACATCACAAATGCCTATTCAGTTAAATGTGAAATGTCGGATTTACATGTAACAAAAACAATATTAACGCCGATTAAGGAAATGTTGGCAGCTTTACATTTTTCATTTTGTATATCGAATTACGAAAAAAAAAATATACAAGGAAAACGTGTTAGTCCGGAAACCCCACCTACAGGACGATAATTGCTTGAACATTTATACAGTAAAACCTCGTTAGTACGAACCCGTTAATCCGGAAACCCCACCTACCGAACGAGTACAGTCTGAACATATATACAGGGACACCTCGTTAGTACGGACCCGTTAATCCAGAAACCCTACCTATCGAACGAGTACTGTTTGAACATATATACAGGGAAATCTCGTTAGTACGGACCTCTTTTACTTCAAAAGCCCACATACAGGACTAGTACTAGCGTCTAATTGTTGAAATGGTTAGTAAGACCACTCGGATTCTGGCGTCTAATTGTTGAAATGGTTAGTTAGACCACTCGGACCCTCTCGTCTAATTGTTGAAATGGTTAGTTAGACCACTCGGACATTGTCGTCTAATTGTTGAAATGGTTAGTTAGACCACTCGGACATTGGCGTTCAATTGTTCAGATGGTTAGTTGGACCACTCGGAACTTGTCGTCTAATTGTGGAAATGGTTAGTTAGACCACCGATATACGACAAAATAGATCACGTTTATGAATCACTTAAATATTACGTGCCCACGTAGATGGCCATTTATTTACAAACATTGTCAAGAAAAGAGTTTACCCCTTTTAACGCAAAGTTACTCAATCACACATACGTTGAATGTGCGGATTAACAAAGTGAATGAAATACTTACACCTTCGTTCATAAACGGATTCACTATTAGTCTTGGTGTTAATAAATATACATTTGTTAATTCCACAGAATATCATCTACGTCGCCGTGGCAACACACGTTTTTCGTCAAATTGTTGACCAAAGTCAATGGTAGAAAAAAGAGCAATAGCTAAAATCTACGTTAGTTAAACCGCAGGGTTGAATTACAAAGACATTACTACGAAACTAGTGATCTGCAAATTGGTTTTATTTCGCAATACTTTACAAAAGTGTTGAAACATCATTTATATACTGGTGTCATTACGGATGCGTCTCGAGTGATATCTGTTTGATCACCCCGCACTATTGTAGGATCCGGACTTGGTGTGTGATTGGGAAACATTTCATCATTTAATACTGGTGTCATCACGGATTCGTCTCGAGTGATATCTGTTTGATCACTCCCACTATTGTTGGATCCGGACTTGGTGTGTGATTGAGAAACATTGCAGTACACAGGTGTATTGACTTGACTTTTACATGCATGGCGAAATTAATACTGAAGACGGAACCGCGTCATGATAACTAATATTTAAATTACAATTCAGTTTCTAGCCAGAAACTAGTTTCAGTAATAGTTTGAGAAAGAGAATCTGCAAACAATAACTGCAGTAAACGTAGACACAATCTATAACCCGTTACCAACTCTTTCTGTAGTCTATTCTCCGGTTGTTTGTGAATTATACACTACGTGTACTGAACACACGTGCATATGCAAGTCGATTCTTCAGTGGTTTAGTTTCCAAAGAATGAAGCCAACTATATGATCCAGCAAAATAACTTTTATTGCAAACTGCAATATCGAATATTGCTACAAGAATAGAGATACTTTATCGTCCGTACGTGACATATTGCACGTGGGTGTAAACAGGAAATTTAATGTGTGAGCGAGTGTGAAATTATAGGCAAGGTCACGTGTATTGGATTCAATGAAGGTTACGTATATTGGATTCAAAGAAGGTTACGTATATTAGGCTCAAGGTATTCTTTCTCAAGTTGCATGCGTTGGAAGATGAGATGAGGGTAAAACTATAGGAAAGGTGGTGTATCTCGGATTCAAGGAATTCTACATCAAGTTACATATGTTGGAAATTTAACTATTTAAGCAGTAAATGTGTGAGGTGAGAGTGGAACTAAAGGAAAGGTTAGGTACATTGGATTCAAAAGATTCTATATCAAATTACGATTTGGGAAGTGAAACGTATTTCAATAGTAAATGTGTAAAGTGAGGGTGAATTATACGAAAGGTTACGTACATTGGATTCAAGGTGAGGTGAGGTGAGGTGAAATTGGGTTTAACGTCGCGTCCAAGATTATTGCACTTATATAGCGACGTGCATGTACGAGTATGTGTTTGTGTGGCTGCTTGTTCTAGTCCGGACTGATGCCGATTTATAGTGCTAGCTCACTGAGATACCACGCCGCAGATTAACATGAATACCCCACTCAGACACAGTATACTGACTCCGAGCCGACCAGTCCTTGTTTTAGCCCCTTAATGCCGAGCGCCAGACAGGGTAGCAACAAGTACCATCTTTTAACGTCTTTTGGTATGACGCGGCCCGGGATCGAACCCCGGACCTTCCGCTCTCCGGGCGGACGCTCTACCACAAGACCACGGAGGCGGTCTGGATTCAAGGCATTCATTAACAAGATGCATGTATTTGATATATATCTCACCATCTTACATCCATTCTTATGGATTGTATTAATGTTTTTTTGTGTTTTTTTTACCAGTGAAAACGCACGAAATAATTTTACATAGAAAAACATATCTACATGTACGTCAATAGTTTTTTTTCGCGAACACCTGGTACCATCACTATTTGACAGTGATTCATAAACACATCCTCATCTCATAGTCGGAATGGTACAATGGACAAATCAGACAATGTTTTATGGAAATAGAAATGGTTGTGTCGCTTTATTGTAGGAGTAATACTATAGCAGCGTGTTTAAAGGAAGACGTTAGCATCTGTCACGCAAGCTGATGACGCTACCCAGCACACAAGCTAACGTCATGCATTGAACCTCTGCATAAGTACTATGGTCGTTCACATGTATCCGAGAGATTGGAAAACATAAAAGTCAGAGTCTACTTAGGCAGCTCTGAGCATATTTCAAATGGTCTTTGATCTATTTGTAGGAGAATATTTGAATGCAAACACTCCACCGAAGTGATTTAACATTCTCCTCTCCTCTAGACTGCAATTCGATGTACACATTTCCATTCTCACGCGTATTAAGTCAAGTTCCCTTGATGACAAAGACGTGATCACATCCATACTAGTCGATAATTCCAACCCAAGTTCAAGGATTCATTGACGACTTGTCGTAATAGAATCTTTCATATCACGAAGATCGTAAACTGGTCTCACCTCGCTGCGCTCGAGCGCAGTTCTCAACATGATACAACTGGGAGATGCCACGATGAAGTGCTACTTCTTGCTTCTGGTTCTGTGGACAAAATGAAAGTTTGAATTACTTCGATTGAACACAAATTTAAATTTTTTTTTTTTTAATATCTCAAAATGTTTCTAAAAACAAATCCCTCCATTTTATGCAATTTCAAATGGTAGTTTTATAAAGAAGTTACATATGAAATGAGTGATGTGTAGCGCTTTCCCTTTCGTATATCAAGAAACTAAAAGACTAATAACTAGCAGGCGTACCTTCTTAACAATGGTCTGTTATATCAAGTTTCATAACCAATTTCAAATATACATAAAAACCGTCAACGCCAGAGAGTAACCAGTATCGATTATCCCCCGAAACAGATTCGCAAAGGCAAAATAGCGGTTAAAAGTATGTGAATGGATCATTGAAAATCAGTGATGACACCAGGTGTTCGCGAGAAGGGTACGCATGTCTTGTCCAACCGATAGCACTCTCACACAATGTGCATAAAAAGTAAGTGTTTGATGCCTGACGTTTGTTTCAAAACTATTATGTTTTGATATAATAGCATACATTCTGGTGAGATGAATGTGTTATTGTTATCCCTAATTTGCATTTAATAAACAAAATGCCTTTTCATCCTCCCCCCTCCCCCCTCCCTCCCCTCCCCTCCCCAAACCATTACTGTTTGGATTTTGTTGTTAATTTGTCTTTGCTGACAGTATGCCGGGTAAACATATGTCATGTATTGTAACCATATGTTCACAATCAAACTATGCTTGAATATCATCAACAAAATGAATTGATACACCTGTTGTAACATTGAAATATTACATAGTATTAATAACACATTCATCAACTTTGATGATAATGTTTGGAACTAAAATGAACCGTTGACGAAAAAATGAAAAATGAAATAGAATTATAAATTGGAAGTATCATAAAATTTATCATCGGTCATGTTGCAAGTTAAAATAAGAATACACGTATGTCCATCCATTGTCACGTAGGTGGTTATTATAATCACACAATAAACGCCAATGCATTGATGCTATCTCATTTCGTTTTAACTCTCACATAATGTTGAAATTGTGTTTTTTTAAGACGACACCAAAATTAAAACAAAATATAAGTGTATATTTTAATAAATTAATTCTCATTTTCCTGATAGGACTCTGGGTCACTGAAACTGCCCTAATACAAACAACACTTTTGTGTATTATATTAAATTACAAATCTTTCGTTTCTTGTTTTAATGAAACTACATTCGGTTTTGCAATTTATCCACTTAGGCATATAATGTTCTATTATTGTAAGCATAATATTATACATACTGAAATATATAAAGCACAGTTTCAGCCTTAGTGCCTTCATGTAACATATGTTTAATCCATTCATCGGTTTACAAATCAAATATATTTTCACTAAACCCGTAGCACAATAAAAAGTCATTACAACGTAAAGTTGCAAATTGACTACAGCTTTCAGCGAACCCACAGTTTACGGTCGAAGAATAGCGTGTTTTCAGCGGGCATACACCATAACACGGTAACACATGCTTCTTTGCGATAGACCATGGTGTGTTCTGATGCTGATCGATTACTTTGTGTGGCTGACCACACCCCCTCGCTCTCCGCCCCACCCCTAGGGTTTACTAATGAGGTGGGGCGGGACTCATCGTTAGCTTGTTAGGGATGGTCTACGTTTGATTTTGTGGGTATGTGGGTGTAACGGCTTCATTTCTCATGTTCATAATGTGTTTGATCTGAACAGATACGTTATGGTGTTGTAATTAGGATGATGTTGGTACGTGCTCTCAACTTCAGGAATTTTAAAATCACCATTTTAAAAATAAAAGGAAATATTAGCTGGGAGGGTGGTAATGATATTAAAGGTACATTGTATCTGTAGCTGGGGATTATTTTTTAAAGTTTTGTTCTTGTTCATCATACGAAAGAGTAAGAATAAGTTCGGTAACTTTGAGCTTCAGATCACTTTGTGATGTAGCTGATATCGTGCACACTTCTAAATAACTTTCAAAGACTTTCGAAACAGACAAAGAAACATTTTTTTCAAATTTATTCATGTTTACGATGGTACGGAACTATTAGAGTATACTAAATTTCAACTCGTATCATATAACGTTCATACGTAGAAAATAGCTTACACTATTATCCAGGGTCACATACAAAGGACGATATATTCGTTATTAGTTATATAAGTAAATAAATAAATAAATAACAACAGAATGTTTAATATATTCAGCAGCAATCGTAATTTGTTGTTGCATAATCTATATAAGTATTAACTTCATTGCCCTACTTAGTCAGGGTTGGAAGAAGCCCCCAAGAACTCGCTAATTTGGTTGCTAGCGCGTCATCGTATGAAGATTATTAGATTATTATATCAATAACTGGTTTGTCTGGTCTAGGCTCGACTATTACGCCTCCGTCATAAAACTGAAATACTGAGTACGACGTCAAACAACAAACAAAATATTTTTACATGGGCACTTGAGAACCGAGGTAGTAAGATTAATGGCATTCAGATGACGTGTATTAAGTTCTAGAACCATATGAAATATTTGGCAGTCGATGTCATACGATGAAAGAAAAAGTAAGGGTTATTTCGGGTATCATAGTTGAATTTTGGACCTTATATTTGTTAAATCTTTCGGCGACTGTCTTCAGCCTAGTAACGTTTTGATAATGTTACTGTAACTGTTTGGTAAAATTCAATTTTCTAGTGTATGCTTTCTTTTGCCCGGCAGTTTATCGACACGTCATATGACTGTGCATCAGCAAAAACAACCACCGCCTACACTAGTGTGTACATGCGTCTTGGCCATCGTTATGTTTAAGGGTGTCAATATCAGGAAAAACACCAAATATCAAACATCACTTTCTTTTTTCAAAGACACCAGGTGTTTCGACATAATTATACTTATATATTTTACACCTTTAACTGAACAAATCTTTAATAATATAGTTTACCAAACCAAGAAACAGTACCAAACATATTTGCCGGTTCCCCTCGCGACGTGACCGAGATAAGATAGATACAAGTATATTCAAGTGGAATTAAGATAATATACTCTCTGCAGTATACATTGTGGAGAATTTAAATCCATCTCGATATCTTCATCTGGCATGTATTTCTGAAAGACGTGAAGTTTTGTGTATCGGAAACGATTTGTTTTAGTCGCTTACGAAGGACTGACGTCGTGTATTTCATACTGGCAATTTGTGCACGGCGGTAGTCAAGTGACAAATGTTGATGTCTTTTTAATTTGTCACTTGTCAAAAAATTCGTAATCTTTCCATCTGATCCGAACATTGCCAACGGGCACTTTTCAGATAATTGTTTGATGCGTGAAATTTCAAGTCATATTACAGAATTATTTTCTTGCCTTGCAACTGACACTTTGCCAAACGTGGGACTAAAGTCTAATTTGCATATCTGTAACCGAGACATTTTGAAACAGGTGCAGTTAAATACGTTAGAGTTCTCATCGTCACAACAGAACAGTTTCTTACCCTGTCAAATCCCATTACTTGAACGTTGGCGGGGAGCGAATCGCTAATATCACCTACATATGCAGGGTGCGGGGACCTTTTTGCGAACGTCGAAACCCCACCAAACTGTCATGAGAAATATGCAAGCATAGAAGATACAGATTGAAAAGATGCGCCAGACTTTTTACATTGTAAGACCTTAGTCGGGAGATACATAACACCACCTCACTTGGAGACCCGGGCTGACAATTGTCAAATATTTGACGTTAATGACCGACGTTTTTTGACGTCAAAGTCACAGGGGATGACATCCTGGGGGATTGTGGGGGAACAAGGAGCCATTGTGCAGTGTAGCATGTGGCGGGGATACGGCGTACACTTCTGAATCAGTGGCACCTTCGAGTATTGCCGAAGTTTCAATTCAGCGAGACCCGTGCTACCCTCTGGCGATCAACCTTTGAAATGATTATTGACATGCGCAGACTATCTCCGTTGAGAAGAGAGAGGGCTCGTACCGACCCCTACGGAGAAAATGATACTGAAGCCGTGTACATTTTTGACGAATTTTTGACAGGCTCTAAGCGGAAGGGAAGCAAAATGAGCTCCCGATGCGAGGTCTGTTTACACACCAAATCGCCCGGCTTGGTGCCCGCAGTGTGGTCGGATAAGGGTTTTATCGAAAACTCGGAGCTGGGCTCGGATTTCGGGCCTAATTGTTAGGGCGGAGCTAAGGCTCCGTTCATTTGAACCCGCGTAGCAGATTTCCCCAAAGAGAGAATTCAATTACGCTTATTGGGACTCCCGTCTCAAATGTATTTCAGTCTTAAAACAAACACCGCTCATCAATTTGGCTCCGAGTTAAATCTAAAGTAACCTATGAGGCAAACAGCCCCCTGAAAGTGAATCTATTTTGCTAGGTTTGTTGAAGGATAGGAAGCGACAATTCACGCAGTGAGGTATTTTTGTCTGACTCGGAAGCCAATTGGGGAGTAATTAATTCGGCAAATAACGCTCACATGTTGTGCATTTTGTCCGAGATTCATTTCAAGTCTTGGCCGCATGCGGGTTAGATACATTTCTTTTCCCCACCAGCACGGGGTGCTTCGCCAATCTCAAGTTTTCTTTGTGGGGGGACGTTCCGACATCTGCTACCAACTCCGACCCCCCGATCTCCTCTCCTTCCGGCGCATCAAGAGCTAATAAAGTACCCATCTGATTACATCGTCCACATCAACATGGCATAATCTACCACAAGTCCTCCACCTTTGACACCAGAACAGGCTTGTGACTAATGACAACCCGTCCCAACACACATAACCCCCATTCACCAAAAACCCGATAAACCATGCTCTTACACATAAGAGGAACTAAACTTACTATAGGACGCCGATATGAATCATAACCACCCACTTAAGACCTCCTCCAAACCGATGACATTTATTCAGTTTTGCCCGAGAGGGTGTAAGCTTAAAACCCTCAGCTTCGGCTGTGGTTCTAGCCCCAAACAGCCTATCTTTGACAGTCAAGAGTGGCCCTGGCTTAAGCATGGCGGGAGACACCTATGTTTATGGTAAAGGTATCTGAGCACAAAGCTCCATCTCAGGGTGGTCGCCTGATGTTCCGTGGTATATTTTCCCTGACCTATGTGTTATTTAGAGACCTCACTCAAGTTGCCGGAGGGCTGTAACAACAACAAGCCGACGTAGAAAGGAGCGACCCTTACCCCTTGTCAGCATTCTCTGTTGCTATCTATGCACAACAAGCACTTCCAACACTCACAGATTGTCAGAATTCCGTCACTCTTCATTTTCTTAATTCCATAAACAGCACATCAATACATCGCTATCGCCAACTTGCAGAATGTACCCAAACAAATTGCACTGTTTAGAAAATCTCTTCTTGTGTTACCGATAGTCTTTCCTGTGTAGACATCTTTCCGGGTGTTGCTCCAGTGTTTGAGGATGAGTGTCATTTGATGATAAAAAAAATGGGCATCTTTGGATGCGTTTTTTTAGAAAAAAATACAACAACGCAATGTTTCTGTAAGCATATTTTTAAGCCTCTGTACAATGAGGCGTGTGACAATGTTGGCATATTTCAAGGCTTGACATGAATACTCTTGAACAACAAAAGGTTGCTCGTGAAAAATTGAGGATTCCCAATCTATTATTTTCTCGCTATGTAGCTGAAACATTGCTGGAACAAATGTTACTCACTCACCGACATGTTTTGAATGATATAGATAATAAATTTTGTTACAGCCATTTCTTAGAAGTTGAAAGATGAAAAAGCAGACACATTTTTATGGATAACAACTTCGTTATTCTGTATTAGCGACGTTTCTGTATAGATCCTTATACCTTTGCCAAGCAACACTGTCTTCCTTGACAACGGTTTAAGGATCTATACCGAAACGCCGCTATTACAGTATAAAAAATGAAGTTGTTGTCCCCAAAAATGTATCTACGATAGAATTATTGATATTATCAAACTTATTATGTTTTGCAATTATTTTGTCCATAGGGGATATAACATGGCATTGCCATTCAATGCAATATTATGTTTTCGTTATTTTAACATTTGACCGTGACATACAAACCATTCAAGTTGATGAAACATACGACATAAGCTAAAGTATAATAATGATGAATAAAGCTGAATGTACCAAATCACCTTGTGACAATGCAATATTGATGAGTATATTGAGATTCGGTCCCAATACAAACCGCTATTGTGGAGAGTTTTGTCTCATGTCTCATGGCGATCAATTATCAATTAGTGACGCCTTCTTAGTCGTGTTGACGGTTGTGTGTTTTTCCTTTGTTAATAATCAACTGTCTTTCTCTGTACTGTCATAGTACAGCTGTTTCTCTCACTCGAGCAAGAAGCTTCGCCTATTCTCCCGGATTAGTTGTGTTTTGAATGAGATTCGTTTCACCATCAGGTTATATGGACTTTCGTTCTTGGTTAAATTTATTTAAAATAATGCGTTAACATACAGGTTTTTGTAGTGTATGACAAAGCCAAGGTAATCGCAGTACACTGTGGGCGATTAAATATATACAACTTAAACAGAACCGTGCGTTACTGTTGGCTCACAAATTGAAAACACTGTTGTAAATCTAATTTTATGACACAGACACAAGGTGATACTGACATTCACGTGAATCTATCCAGTCAAATCTTGTTATACAAAACGTCAGTTCTGCGGTCTGTCTGTTGGAAAATAACTTAGTCTATGGAACCCAACGAAAGGCCATAAAGACCCTTACTTGTACAGTAACCCCCCGTTATTCCGGACCCCGCATATTCAGGATAACTACTGCTTGGAACATCTTTCTATACACAAAAGCACGTTACAATGAATCGTTAGTCAATATATTTGTTAATTTTAACATTTCCCCAGGACCGGCACTGTCCAGAGTAACGGGGTTTCATTTTAGTTATCTGGAACCTATTCGTAGTTAATTGTTTTCTGTCTTACATTATTTTACAATGACAAGCGATTCTGATTATTATTGTATTGGCCTAAATCTCAGAATCGTCTATAGATTAGAATAATGCTTATCTAGACGTGGCCTCTGACAGTAAGAATTATATATCGAAAGCTAATAAGATCAATATAGATTTCCATCAGAAATGATTCGCTGATCGCCAGTGCCCACCTTGGGTGGTCAGTAAGTACCAGCTAATGGACGACAGGTCAACAAGGACATCGTGTAAACTGTGACTAAACATGCAATGAGGAAAACCGGTCAGGAACCACTTTCAGGGAGATGTCGTAACAATATTTGGGTAGATGTCGTAACAAGTCACAGATTACGTCAAAGCGGATACAGTGGTGACTTACGGCAACATGGCTGCGCTAGGGACTATAACAACAATGCCTGCGGATGGAACTTCGCGGGATTATGCACAAACAGATAAAAGATTCTGATAAACTCCATGAATATTTAATCGTATTATCCATGATTCGTCCCTCGAGACGAAATTGTAGCCCAACCGTAAATCCCCAAAGCTTGGTTAGAGCTGCTGTTGGCTACTTTACCGCAGCATCGCAGTCATATATTTCTGAAAGAAAAAAGAAATTGATCACATTTTGTGTAAATACAACAATTTATTAAATTACATGTCATGCCCGACTTCACATGTACTCTCGTCGGAGTACCTGCCATGGTCGCTTGCGAGGTGCTTGTGACAAACAGATATGAATTATAAAAGGTATTAAATTAAAAGAGTAAAAGAACAATATGAAAATAATTGTAAAATTGCAACACATTCCCTCCGACATTTTCTTCTTCGTGGAAGATGAATATACCGATGTATAAGGTACATATATGAAATCATTATCAAAATTATTTTCTTACAGTATTGGAGAATGGGTATGCCAGCAATACATACTTCTTCGTACTTTTGGGTTATTAGTATTATTCTCCTTAACATTGATAGTTGGGTTAAAATTCTGACGTTTACAGGACAGAAACCTAATTTTAATTTGTCATAATTAACTCTTTCATGCCTTTTACCACATACTGCACTTTTAGAATAACGCGTTGATAAATTTTTGAAAAATAGTTTGAACATTTCATGTTTCTATAACTGTGGGGAAAACCTGGAAAGGTGAATTGTCATACATGTACTCTTTATAATTTACCATTCAAAATAACATTTTGCCTGTAACAGAGCTGATCATAGTATCCTAATTGTAACAAACACTCAAAACCCGCATGAAATGTATTTAACATTAAACAACTCTTTGTCCCTGTTCTTCTTGAGTACTTTTGATCTAAAACGCTTAGATAAGAATTTCATTGAAGTTGTGTATAATTAAACAATTAGATATAATTTTAAGATGATATTTACCGCCTGAATTCGACCATTGAAAAGAAACAAAATATTTCAATGTTCTTTTTCAACAGTTTGACATGAAAATGACACCCTCTCAGTCACATTAGTTAAAAACTTGACATTTCTACGTGTTTAATTGCGCATTCACATTTGTCCCAACTTGTTTTCACCATTATTTGGTAACTTTTACAAACATGTCACATTGTGCCTTAATAGGGGTTTTGGAATCTTTTCATATTGCATTAATTCTCTTTACAATGCAATCCAAAGAAATAACTTTTAATACAAAGTTAAGGAAGTCGCTAATATCGTCACATTTCCTGAAGAGATTTTTAGAATGACACTTTTAAAAGAATCATAATTATACCGAAAATTACATTGCGCATATTTCATTGAATTCAGTCGAATGGAAAATTGTTACCAAAATAAGCTTGCTGATGGTGGGTTCTAAGGCTGGTATGGCCCTGTTGTATAATGAGTTGGGCATTACACAGAAATTACCAAACTTCGCCTTCCAGGGTACCGAAGCGTATATCCAGCGCTGGGCATTCAACAGCTCAGTTGCAGAACAATTCATCACTGCCTGATAAATAACAACGGAAGGAATGATCTAAAAGCTTTTTTCATGAGGCTAATGTATTGTTCATGATGAACGATCAGCATTAAGTTATGCGCGGGTATATCAACAATTGCTGAAGACTGTGTTAATATGTACACTAGACACAGTATATGGTACATTATTATGCTAACTACTTCCCGACGTAATTGTTGTATATTGTATCCTCCAGGACTACAGCAAGTACCTCAAAGGACCGTTCCATTATCCCTCGCAGTATATTTACTGATCGCCTAATCGTATAAAAAGCCCCACTCTTGAACGATTTTGGTATTTTCGGTTGAGTAATTCACTTGTGCGCGCCTACACCGTATTCAGCTGAGTAAACGATAAACAATACCAAGTGACTCTGTAGGTCTGTTTACAAAACAAGTGGAAACATACACAAGACCACAATATCCTCAGCTCCAGACACGGAAATCTCACCCGGAGGGAAAGAAAAAACCCTAGACGAGGAATCTGAGCAATTGAGAGTAAAGCTTGTAGTCATGCTTTTCCTTAACTGCTTTCGTGGGAACTCGGGGCAGTCTCAACATTTGCAAAACATACACTTTCAACTTGACGGATGGTTTTGACTTTCCCCCGATCCTCATGATATGGAATAATCCCCCTTCCTCAAGTGTCTTCCACTCCTGTAGGTAACAGCGAGTCGTAATTGCCAGAGTATCAAGTGACCCACACATTTGTACACTTTGCGGATATAAGATCGCCCGCCAACCGAAATTAGAAACCTCTGCGTTATTAGGAAGCCGGATATGCATTTAAGTTGTAAATGAGAAGTTAATCCCTCTGAGGGAAAAGGTAATTATATTTCGGGAAAACATTAGAAAATTATTTTAAAAGCATAACTCTCTAGATTTTGCCAGATTACAAAATACATTTGTTTTCTGTACGATGATAAAAAGTGGATCCGATTTTATGATTAACAGAGACTTGTTCCTGATAAGTCCGTGTATGTATTCTTTTGAACACGAAGAAGTCTCATATCCTAAGCATGGTTTTCATGTAATTAGGCGTATTATAATAGCAACATATGTTCTTCGCAAATTTCATAATAATTACAATAATATATCGGGGGCAAAGACTTCACGGTGTCAAGTAAAATACTTCCCGGGGTTCACGTGGACATTAGGTAACAATTGTAGTCATAGCAACCTAACGTAAATCAATACGTATGCAGTAAATGTATTGCTTCAATATGACGGATATACAATATATGTAAATACATTTGTGTGAACCAGATCGACATAGATTTGGAATTTACAAGTAATCGAAAGCCTAGCCTATTTGATATTGGATGTATGATGTGATGATAAACCGTGCTAGCGTATAACATAAGATAGCCGTGTTTTTTATGATATGGTTACAACGAAAGTGATACACACGAAAAAAGTTTCCATACTTGCCTGATTTAATTATAAGATAGTTTTCAAACCTATATTTGCAGTCTAAAGGTATCAGATGTGTTGATGTCAAAATGTTTATATGGCAGTTATAACTGTTACATAAAATATGCATAAATAGTTGTGATCTTTATATTTGTCGTATACTAAAACATTTAAAGAAACTTTGAAAACAAACATGAACCTACATATGTTTTTGTCAATGCAAACGAAATTACAATTCATAATGAAATTTTGGCCAATAATTATTAAATAATACATTTGTCAAAAATGCTTAGTTGTTAAGTAACAGTCCATGAAATTAATCATATGCGGAATAATGATTAATTAAACTTTCATCAAGGATATTTATACATTCTATGCCAATATAGGTCTCCACACAGATAATGGGCATAAACAAACCACAATGAACATGACTATTTTTGTGAAACAAGTTTTTTTACAGATACGCTAATAATGTATATATATATAATCGTTTAATTTAATTAATTTAATTTCTTATGTTCTTGACAAGGAATGTGTTCTTATGATACATTTCCCTTATGTTTAAATAATTAATAAAGACTTGTAGTTAGTCATTTGTTTGTGATTTTATTGTAAAAAATGAAAAAAACCTATTTGTACGAAAACAACCCATTGATCGAACACAAGCTGTTACACTCAAAGATCATTAAACAGAAGGACAATAAAATGTATAAAAAGAATATATTTTAAGCACACAAATTATGCAAAAGTCTAGTCTTCAGGTACTTCTATAAACACGCGATTACCCGTTACCAAAATAGTCTTCAGGTGTTTTATCTTCATCCTGATAGCAATATACTAGTATACAGTGACTAAATTATACACCTATATATTCGTAGTATATTTCATTTCCACATAAATACCATAATACAATTTGATGCGGATTACGGCATCTATAAACCATTAAGATACTGAAAATGATATTCACTTCTGCAGTCTCATTTCTCACAATTATTGTTAATTATTACTAGTTTATTATTTTTATTTTAATATCTGACATGTATACTGTAAACTTAAACATCTATTATATACAATACTACGTGGTTGCGATTACAATCGGTAGGTGAATATGGACAAGCATAACTGGTGGAACAGTGACCAACATAGTACAAGGATTCATGTAACCATTGCACAAGGAACGACTCCTTTCTCAGAGCTATAATTACGCTATTAACAACTTTGGATGTGTTAATAGCATGTTAAACCAAATATTACCAGCCAACTTGGAAGAATAGGATTTGGGGAGGCGATTGGTTGTTCTCTATTCTCAGTGTCTCCGTATTGTGCTAATTATTTAGCAGAATTTTCTCAAAGTCCCCGTTTTGTTAGACATTCAACCCCCATTGGATATGACAGGTCACTGACGACAAATTGCTAAATTTGATTGAGTAGTTTCGGTAATTGATTTGTCCGATTTTCTAGATCCTAGCAAAGTTGAACTTGTCACTTTCAACCATGAGGAAATTGACATTTTTGCAATATTAAGAGCAATTGGGGAGGAAATATAACAGTCTCTTTATGAAGTTTCGCAGTGCATTTTAATTAACATTCAAAGACGGGAGAAGTTTTAAACTTATCCATCCCATGCTATTAGTTCATTATTGCAATAAATCCACAGAGAGTTCTTTCCCTGAGATGCAGCTGGACATGTTAGTTGTGAAGAACTTCGGGTTTTTATACACAACAAAACGCCCATAAAACTTGATTCAGCACATATTAATGATAACAGGTAAAGTTGGATTCAGGTATTATGACGCCAAATAACATTACAAAGCCGAATTGATTAGTTTTCAAGCCTAATTGTTACTCAGAACAAATAGCCAAGGGAAGTCAATAGATCTAACTACCCAACTACCGTTGAAGCCAGAGATAGGCTGTTACCAAGGAGAAAGTCAAACAGAAAACGCCGACTTTTAAGTTTGAGTCGTTTGTATACATGTGTTACATATACAATTCAGTCATGGTAAAGGCCTTATGAATTGTCTTGTAAAGAAGGAACAATATTTCCAAAGGCAATGCCATCAATTGTCTGATTATGCAGAGAAGACCCTGATAAACTGGACATACCATTGGTTTTTACCAAATGGAAGAAATACAGTCACAAATCTAGGTCAAGAGCTCATCGCCACAGGTCAAGATATATACAAAAAACTTTCGAAAAATCCGGAATCCAGAATCCA